AATACAGATCTAGGTGTTGCTGTGAAAGGTGTGGGGAGAGGGGGGGGGGTAAGAGACAGAGTATAAACACTTGGTTAATTTCTATGATGTTCATTTGTTTACATTCCGGTGGAGGTGGTAGAGGGTGAATGGTTGTGTAAGGTGGAGAGTGGATGGTTGTGTAAGGTGGAGAGTGGATGGTTGTGTGTGGAGGGTAGAGAGTGGATGGTTGTGTAAGGTGGAGAGTGGATGGTTGTGTATAGGTGGAGAGTGGTTGTGTGTGGAGGGTAGAGAGGGATGGTTGTGTAAGGTAGAGAGTGGATGGTTGTGTGTGGAGGGTAGAGTGGATGGTTGTGTGTGGAGGGTAGAGTGTGTGGTGGGAAGGTGTACGTGTACTATTAGTGTGAATATCTGAGGTGTGGCGTATCACCTGGTTATCAACACGCCATTACACCACCCCCACGCTTCCTTGTGACATTTTTGGTCTTGTAGTTCACCCACCTGGCTTCATCCATCTTGCTCACCCACCTGGCTCACTTATCTGGTTTTTTTTTTACTCATCTGGCTCACCCAGCTGGTTCAACCATCTGGCTCTCACACATACCTCTATCACCTGCTTAACCCCAAAGTGCTCAAGCAGAGGCATTTCACACACACACACACACACACACACACACACACACACACACACACACACACACACACACACGCCTCAAAAATGCACCTAGGTTTGGCAAGAGTGTGGATTTGGCAGTTTATTTAAAGCAAAAATAAAAATGAATAAAAAACAAATAAAAATACAAATAAACGGCATTGGTCAATCTAACACACACCAACCTCAGTGTTTGTCAGGGTGTTGACTATGTGTTTTGTGTTTATATTCATTGTTTATATTTTTAGGGGTGGGTGGGGGGGATGGAGTGGAGTTAGGGGGTTCATCATCATCATCATCATCATCATCATCATCATCATCATCATCATCATCATCATATCTGTATTAATGGTCTCGTTTTGACTTGTTGTGTATTTGTATTATATTTCACCCCACACTCCACTATACCTTCACCCACACTCCACCAAACTCCTCTACACCCCTTCACACTCACTCGCAGTCACCCACATTTCTCCAAGCTCCACCACAATCTCCCACACTCACCCACATTTCTCCAAACTCCACCCCAGTCACCCCACATTCCACCACAGTCTCCCACACTCATCCACATTTCTCCAAGCTCCACCACAGTCACCCACACTCACCCACACTCACCCACACTCCACCAAACTCCGCCACAGTCACCCACACTCACCCACATTCCACCAAACTCCATCCCAGTCGCCCCACACTCAACCATATTTCACCACAGTCACCCACACTCACCCATATTCCACCTAACTCCACCACAGTCTGCCACCTTCACCCACATTCCACCACACTCAACCAAACTCACTCAAATTTCACCTCAATTCAGATTTAAAGAATTCTATGCGTATAATTTACTCAGGTGTATCATATATCATCAGCTTTCATCCGTCCTGTCTGTGTCTCTGTCTGTCTGTCTGTCTGTGTCTGTCTGTCTGTCTGTCTCTGTCTGTTTGTCTGTCTGTGTCTGTCTCTGTCTGTCTGTCTGTGTCTGTTTGTCTGTCTGTCTGTCTGTGTGTCTGTCTGTCTGTCTGTCTGTCTGTCTGTGTCTGTCTGTCTGTCTGTCTGTATGTGTCTGTTTGTGTGTCTCTGTTTGTCTGTCTGTGTCTGTATGTCTGTCTGTCTGTCTGTCTGTATGTGTCTGTTTGTGTGTCTCTGTTTGTCTGTCTGTCTGTATGTATGTCTGTCTGTCTGTCTGTCCGTTTGTGTGTCTCTCTGTTTGTCTGTCTGTCTGTCTGTGTCTGTATGTCTGTCTGTCTGTTTGTGTGTCTCTCTGTTTGTCTGTGTCTGTATGTCTGTCTGTATGTGTCTGTTTGTGTGTCTCTCTGTCTGTCTGTCTGTCTGTCTGTCTATCTTTCTGTCTCGCGAGTGAAAAGTTATGTTGAAGAATACACTTGTGATGGAGGAAGGAGAAGGGAGGAAGGAGAAGGGGTAGGGGGAAGGGAAGGGGGGAAAGGGGGAGGGGGTAATGGTGTTGCCGAGAGAGCATTTGGTGGGAAATTCATCCAAATTTATAATGTCAACTCCCCCCCCCCTCCCCACCCCCCCGAAGGCACAAGAGGCCAAGACGAGACAAATTCATCTGATACAAACAGCGGCGTGTTGATAATTATTTATTTTGTATTATTATCTTTTTTTTCTCTTAAGTCGTAATTGATTAGATGAAACTTGGTTAATTAAAGTAGACATATAGGTGTAATTAAGGAGAACAACATCATCATCATCATCATTTCGAGGTGTATCTTGGTTGGGTAAGCTTTTGATGATGAGTATAATGAAAGAAGCGTTTTTAAGCCCATCAGGAAGGGACTGTGGTCTATGATGGTCTAACATGGCGAATATAGACCAATGTAATTTAATCCATGGTTGGGAAAGGAGATTAATGGAGGGAGGAGGGGGGGTGGGAGAGATTAATCGCTCTAGTTGATTTTAAGGATTTGGGGCCCAGTATGACGTAAATTTAGGATAGGCCCCAGTTCTAACGGGCCCCAGTCTTAATGATCTGACTAAGTTCTGTTGGGGCGTTTGGGGATCGGGGTTCATTTACAGCCGTGGGGTGTAAATAATAGCCTAGCCCATAGCAACACTGAAGGCTAGGATGTTGTGGACAGTCATAGTAATTTGACACCGCCATTGGGTGTACTGGTGAGTGTATGAGTGTACAAGTGGGTGTATGAGTCAGTGTACTAGTGGGTGTATGAGTGAGTGTACTAGTGGGTGTATGAGTGAGTGTACTAGTGGGTGTATGAGTGTACAAGTGAGTGTATGAGTGAGTGTACTAGTGGGTGTATGGGTGTACTAGTGAGTGTATGAGTGTACAAGTGAGTGTATGAGTGAGTGTACTAGTGGGTGTATGGGTGTACTAGTGAGTGTATGAGTGTACTAGTGGGTGTATGGGTGTACTAGTGAGTGTAAGGAGTGTACTAGTGGGTTTATGAGTGTACTGGTGGGTGTAGTGTGAGTGTACTACTGGGTGTGGAGTGAGTGTACTGGTGAGTGTATGAGTGTACTAGTGGTTTATGAAGTGGGTGTACTAGTGAGTGTATGAGTGAGTGTACTAGTGGGTGTATGAGTGAGTGTACTAGTGAGTGTATGAGTGAGTGTACTAGTGAGTGTATGAGTGAGTGTACTAGTGGGTGTATGAGTGAGTGTACTAGTGAGTGTATGAGTGAGTGTACTAGTGAGTGTATGAGTGAGTGTACTAGTGGGTGTATGAGTGAGTGTACTAGTGGGTGTATGAGTGAGTGTACTAGTGAGTGTATGAGTGAGTGTACTAGTGGGTGTATGAGTGAGTGTACTAGTGAGTGTAGGAGTGAGTGTACTAGTGGGTGTATGAGTGGGTGTACTAGTGGGTGTATGAGTGAGTGTACTAGTGGGTTTATGAGTGTACAGTTCTTACCTAATATAGCGTTCAATAGAGGACCATCTCTTACAGCGGCCATCTGTATAAGACAACCCGCCTATAACGGCAACCGCAAAGTATTGACCACTAAACGGGAACTAACTACTTGACAACAGGTGAATATTTGACAAGGTGGTGACCGCTAGACAGGAGGTAACCGTTTGACAGGAGGTAATTGCTAGACAAGGAGTAACCGCTAGACAGTAGGAAGTAACCGTGAGACAGGAGGTAACTGCGAAACAGGTCGTAACTATAACTAACCGATAGACAGGAGGAGGTACCCGCTAGACAGAAGGTAACCGTTAGACAGAAGGTAACCGTTAGACAGAAGGAGATAACCGCTAGACAGAAGGTAACCGTTAGACAGGAGGAGGTAACAGCTAGACAGGTATACAGTGTGGGAAAGGCGGACATTGATAGAAGGGAAAAAAATTATTAGTGTGTGGGAAATGGACGGTTGGCTGCGGACAGACGTTCACTTGCTCGACAGGTGATGTAGCTGACGAAGAATTATGAACGCGTGAGTCACTGGCGTATTTACGGTCATGAGTCATTACGTCCGTCCGTGCGTCTGTGTGGCTGTTTACCCGCATATCCTTCCGTCCGTGGTTCTGTCTGTACGTTCTTCCGTGTTTTGTCTGTCCTTGAGCGTACGTGTGGTCTTTCGTATACACTTCCGTCCGTGCATATAACTGTACTTTCGTCTGTGCATGCTTACATATTCTTCCGTGCGTCCGTGTGTAAATTCGTCCGTGTTTTCGTCCGTATTAGTCAGCCATGAAATACATTGATAGTATACAAGAAAAGTAGCCCCTTCGATTTTGTATATATGTATGTATGTATGTATGTATGTATGTATGTATGTATGTATGTATGTATGTATGTATGTATGTATGTAAGTACAGTATGTGGGAAGCTGGGGGGGAGTGAATTTTAACCAGATTTAAACATGGCTTACGACTATTCCTCAGACAAGTTCAATAATTCAGTAATCTCAGATAATTGGACTTGGTTGCGGCGCAGTCATTACATATAATCGACTCCAGTATCTCGCCTTCCCACCACACCATCCCATTTAAATGAAACTTTATATTAACACCTACACGGAAGACAGTCATTACTACCTGACAATAGATGTTTCCTGAGCAGTTGTTGTACCTGTATATTACCTGTAGGTCATTTATTTACTGTGTATATGTAGTCCAGGTAATTGTTGTTTACCTTTTATATACAGCTGGTGGTGGAAATTATGTAGTGTGTATGTAGCCCAGGTAAGTAAGGTGTACGGTAGGTGGGGGTAAGTTATGTAGTGAAGATGTAATTAAGCACGTAGACAGGTGGTATAAGTAAGCTATGTGTACTGTACATTAATGCAACGAAGGTAATTACTGCTGTTTTAATGAGGGGTGTACGTCCATAATAAGACACCTACCTGGCCCTGCTACACCACCTGTAACCTGGCCATCTATCCCCCCTCAGCCCAAGATCCGGCTGGAGGTGGAGAGCGGGTATGACGGCACCCGCTCCCGGTACCGCAGAGACCGGGTGAGGGAACGGATAGCTGCGCGTCTGGCCCGAGAGACTGAGGTAACTTGTTTGACCCTCCCTCCCTCCCTCCTCCAAACCCATGTAACCCACTCCTCAAACCCCATGTGACCCACTCTCCAATTCCATGTGACCCACTCCTCAAACCCCATGTGACCCACTCCTCAAACCTCATGCGACCCACTGTGACCCACTCCTCAAACCCCATGTGACCCACTCCTCAAACCCATGGACCCACTCCTCCAACCCCATGTGACCCACTCTGTGACCCAAACCCCAGGCCCTCCACCCCCGAAGAGCTTGACCCCTCCCTCCTCCCCACCATTATGACTACTTAACCCCCCTCCCCCTCCCTCCCGCCAGCTGGATTTGCCGTGAACCCTAACAAGCATGATGGTAGTAGTACAGTATATAGTTGTTAGCAAAGCCTTTTACTGTACCCGTATGCTAGAGTCGGTGCCTGTAACCCGTAGTAGATAACCGTAATAAAAAAATAGTGAAATGACCTTAACTTGTAGTAGGTGATTGTAACCTTAGCCTATAGTAATATAGTATTAACCGTAGCGTATAGTATTAACCGTAGCCTATAGTATTAACCGTAGCCTATAGTATAAACCGTAGCCTATAGTATTAACCGTAGCGTTTAGTACTAACCGTAGTCTATAATATTAACCGTAGCCTATTCTGTAGTATTAACCGTAGCCTATATTACTAACCTTAACCTATAGTATTAACCGTAACCTTTATTATAAACTGTAACCTATAGCAGTAACTGTAACTTAGGGTAAGTAACTGTAACGTATAGAAGGTACTCGTAACCTGCACTCGGTAATCGTCGCCTCTGCTGGGAGTCGTATAACCAACCAGGTAATTGTTCCCTATATGGCAGGTGAAGAGAGTACAGGAACACAGGTAAACCATATGTGTCCTCTTGATGACAGGTTGTGACACATGTTCCCGTGAAGAGTTGATCAGAGTGTATAGAGACGGACGTGTTGAACTGTCTCTATGTATGGGAGAGAGAGCCTTTAGTATATAAACTATAGTCTGATTTTAACATTTTTCTATAGACAGGGATAATAGTGAAGGGGGAATGTATTGGGAACTATTAACATTATTTATGAATTTATTTCGTTTTAGGGAATAATTATGGGAGAAATTATAATTAAACATTTTGATCGCTGGTTTCACGGGTCGTTCGCCTGTAACGAGCTTGATGATCGCTAACTACTTATATATCTCTGTAAAGGTGGCAGTCTGTGTGTTAATGTTATGAAGAATTTATGTTATCTGTCACCATTTAGTTTGTTAGTCATTGGTCGTGATAATTACTGAGGGACCTAATGTTTACCCTGGACGTTACACAGCCGAGGTATTGATTTGTGCTTCATCATTTTTCTCCACATAACTGTATTCTTCACCAGGTGTACTGTGTTAAACACGTGGTGGCTGGCCGTCAGGTGTTCCCCATAATTTTAACTGCAGATCTACAGTAAGATCACACTGTACTTGCTGATGATTACAGTTATGCAGATTAAATGATGATGAAGAAGTACAAACTGATATAATGGAAAGGTAACTTCTTTTTGGGACTCGGTAAACACAAACACTAAGGAACGTTGTAAACGATCTGTGTAAATCAGGAAGTGGAGGAGGTGGAGGAGGAGGAAGGGGGGAGGTATGAACAGGTGGTGGTGGGCGGATGGCTGACTACTGTGTTGGCTCGCTCGCTGGTTGGTTATCTGGTTCGTAGTTTGGCCAACTAGCTGCCTGACTGTCAGGCTAAACTAGTCAACTATCTAGCTGGCTGACTACCTAACTATCTGGTTCTCGGGATTGATACCTTGCTAATTTTGGCTAGCTAGTTAGCTTGGGAGCTGGCTGGTTAGTTTGCTAGGCGTTAGCAATCATGCTTGCTGGTTAGTTAGTTTGCTATCTATAATGCTGGCTGGTTGACTAGCTAGCTATTAGGTTGGTTGGCTGTTTAGCTTGCCAGCTGTCATGTTGGCTAGTGTGGGTTAGCTAGCTAGCTATCATGCTGGTTGGCTGGCTAGTTAGCTTTAGCTATCATGCCGGACGGCTGTTTCTTTATCACTTCGGCTAGCTGGGTAGCGAACTATCATGCTGGTAAGTTAGCTTGCTATCTCGTTGGTTCCCGAGGTCTCTTGCTATCATGTTGGCAGGCGAGTTAGCTAGCTATCATGTTGGCTGGCAAGTTAGCTAGTTATCATGTTGGCTGGCGAGTTAGCTAGCTATCATGTTGGCTGGCGAGTTAGCGAGCTATCATGTTGGCTGATGAGTTAGCTAGCTATCATGTAGGCAAGCGAGTAAGCTAGCTATCATGTTGGCTGGCGAGTTAGCTAGCTATCATGTTGGCTGGCGAGTTAGCTAGCTATCATGTTGGCTGGCGAGTTAGCTAGCTATCATGTTGGCAAGCGAGTTAGCTAGCTATCATGTTGGCTGGCGAGTTAGCTAGCTATCATGTTGGCTGGCGAGTTAGCTAGCTATCATGTTGGCTGGCGAGTTAGCTAGTTATCATGTTGGCTGATGAGTTAGCTAGTTATCATATAAGCAAGCGAGTTTGCTAGCTATCACGTTGGCTGGCGAGTTAGCTAGCTATCATGTTGGCTGGCGCGTTAACAATTTATCATGTGGGCAAGCGAGTAAGCTAGCTATCATGTTGGCTGGCGAGTTAGCAAGCTATCATGTTGGCTGGCGAGTGAGCTAGCTATCACGGTGGCTGGCCAGACTCCTGCATTATCCCGTGTTGGTGGTCTCCGCCCACAACTGTTTAAAAACACCGGGTATTCTGGGGAGGACCACTGGGGCAGCGCCAAGTGTGTCCCTGCCTACCACCATCCCCACTACTACCACCATCACCGCCTCCACCACCATCACCGCCTCCACCACCGTCACCACTACCACCTCAACCAACTTTACCACCACCACCATCACCACTACAACCACCATCACCGCCTCCACCACCGTCACCACTACCACCTCAACCAACTTTACTACCATCACCACTACTACCACCATTACCGCTTCCACCACTCTCACCACCACCATCACCACAACCACCACAGCCAACTCTACTACCACCATTACCACCATCACTACCACCACAACAACTCTACCACCACCACCACCACCACGAGATAGATACCAGCTGTTACCATCATCACTCCTCCCCCACCTTCGTTGCTTCCTCCGGCGTCTCCAACACTCACTCATCTCTTATTTGGACTCATAGTAGGGAAGCTTAGCCTCATTTTTTAAGCTGAAGGCTGATCTTTACCCTTTCGGATAAAAGCGCCAAATTTGGTATGAAGCCACCATGACCTTCTCCCAGAATCCCCTAAAATAGCAAAATCCAAGATGGCTGCCAGAAATTCATCATTTGAGATATAGTAATAAAACATTATTTGGGGATTAATTTCTTCCGATTTACTCGTATTTATTATGAATAATATTCTGATTCAAAAATGTCATTTCAACAGGCATTTAAAAAATCCTGAATGCCTCTTAATATTGTTAAGTTATAGACTGCTCAGTAGAATGTACATAGATGTTTGAAATTGTGTTGTGCAGAAATTCCAAACAAACATGTCTTGACATTCATTTCAGTGTAAATATAAGTAAACATCAAGCGACACACAGTTATCACTCGCTTTGAATTTGACATTAAGTCCTTACTACACTTGCAATTGCAAATTGGTGAGCATTGAAGGTTCGCTTTGCCACATTGGCAACGTGAACAGTCGCCTCTACAAGAACATTTGACCAACTCTCTGCAGGTTTTCGACATCTCAGGAATTGTTAACCAGACAAGATTCCACAACCCAGAAGTTTTGGTCCAACCATATCTTTCTGGTGCTGGTACAATTTGCTGCATCTGAGTGCTGGTTGTTCAAACTCCAGCATAAGAAGGCATAAGATTATCTGCACCTTTGGAGACTACTGATTCCTTTCATGTGATGTAGACAGCCTTGGATTGTGTGAAGACAAAATTCTCAACTTTTGGTATAAGAAAGTAAAAAAATTCTTTCTTATTTCCTTCAGTTCGAAGGAAATCCATCCACCTTTCTGTGAATACCTTTCCCCCTTTTTTCTCTTGTAGATGCCTTAATACTATTTGGTATGTAATTATCCCACGCAATATTAAACAGTGAGGTATTCTGCAGTAGGTTTTGGAGATATGGAGTAAATACTGTATCAGCATATTCCTTAAATGTGTTTACACTTGCTGTCGGCAAGGGGGGGGGGGACAATAACAGCTCCATCCATGATTTTGCAGCCTTAAGATGAAGGCTCCTCAGGTTGTTCACTTAGTGGCCAGCAAATGAAGTTTGCCGAAGTTTGAAAATGAAGGTAGATATGTATGTACTTCAGGGGAGAAAAAATCGCCAAGATCCCCAGCCAGATTCTGCATAGTGATATAGAGCTGCCCAGGTTGTTCAACATTATCCCACAGTTCTTTAATCTTCTTCCCTTGGGTTGAAGTCCTTTTTGGTTGAGTATTCTTGAAGAATGGCAGCAAATTTTTCTTTACTCGTTCATGTATGAAATGTTGCAGTCCTCAAGGACATTCCTGACGTACTCTTGGTACTGCCCCTTGCCAGTATTTTCGAGATTCTGAATTGATTCAGCTACTGCTTCATTTATACAGTTTCGACTGTCCAGTTTTATCAGCTCAGGAAAGTCTGTTAGGAAAGGATTTCTCATTTTCCTCATGGTGTTGAGAGGCTGTTCAGTGTTCACCTGCATTTTAATATGTTCGTGATGTTTAAAGTTTTGGGGGTTCCCAGGATCATCACCAGGTAAGTATTCACCCTCAAAAAGCTTAATCAGCCTAGAAAGCTCTGGCCCCGAAACCATCCAGTATTTAAAAGCATGAGGATTATCCATGAGCCCAATACATCCACCTGGAGCCTTGACAACTTTGTTTTCTTGTTCGTGGACTTGGTCTATAGGAATGGCGGAGAACTTGTTCATGGTCTTGGGGATGACTCAGTGGGACTTATTGAGGAACTGGTCCTTGA